ATATGCATATAGTATCACTGACTAGGTATTGTCCTCGTTTATAGGCGGGATTTGATCGCTCTTCCGTTGGGAGGGGAACAAAAAGCTATAGTGTTATCATTTACAATGATTCCTATGACGCTTGAGTTGTGAAATATTAGCGATGAAGTACTGTGCCTATAATATTTCATATATTATTCAACGTAACATTATCTGTTGGGATATACATATGTTAGAGAAACACCTAAACATGCTTTCTAATCCCTATAAAGATAAGACTAAAGCATTACTACTGAAAAAGTAGCAAAATGTACTGGTTTATCCCATGGAGCAGATCATTATATATGGATTGCAGAGGTAACCACCACCTGAAACAAATAGCAAATTTGAAAAAAAATAATCAATACTAGCTACTAAATGTAATGCTGATACTTTTTGGCATTGACTCTTTCTTAATTAAACCAACGAATCTTCAGCGTTTTTTAATCAAAGAATCGGTATTTTTGATTCGCTTACGTGGACTAGAATGCATTGTTTGATTCTCTTCAAGAAAATAACCATTTTTGTTTCTGACAACCTGAAGAATAGGTGCATTCAGAAAACGAAAGGGCTTCCGCAGCACCCAATGTCGGTGACAATTTGAATGCCATTGAATGGATCAGGATTTATAAGCGGAATTGTCAGTCCTCAAAATAACTCAAATTTGAATTTGATCGCATGTAGGAAATGTTTGCATTTAAATATTTTAGAACATATGTTCATTTCAATCTTTCGTCGACATTTTTATTTTTATCTTAGTGCTGGATAATTTTTTTGAAACCTCGGAATCTGCAATTCTGCATTTTTGTCCAAAATTCACCCATTTTCGTGTATTTAACTAAGTATTTTTATATGAGTACATAGTTGCAACACTTCCACTTCGAATCTTTAACAAAACACACTAAGGCCCGTATCGTCAGTCGTCCCTACAATTGTAGGGCGCGTTTATGGCCTCCTTGATTGTCATCCTCCTTTCTCTCCTTCAAAAATTTCTAGATTTCACTTGTCCCGTGTCAGCGTCAGCGCTCTCCTATTGTGAAGATATGTTTTCTTTTTAAATTGTAGGAAATTTCAGGCTGATAAAACATGATATAACTCAAAAGCAAGCACAATTTGATGCAAATAGATGTTTGTGACATAACCTCAAAATAGAGTTCCGACACGGAGAAGTAGAAAAATATGACAATCAAGGAGGCCATAAAGGCGCCCTACAATTGTAGGGACACAAAACAGATGCACTCAAAACCAAATTTGTTTGACGGCTTGAGTTCAATGTGTACGAGAGAGAGAAGTGTTAGAAAGAGATAGAAGCCGGCTGGATAGCAAGCTAGGTCAAAATGAATGGTCAGGATCCCCACAACTCCTGCAACATTGCGTCATCATTGACTCGTTTGATGACACAGTACATTCCAAGGCAAGCGGTCCACCTTCATGATCATAGTTGAGCCATTTTGTCAGTACCCATCTAGCGCTCGTAGGGGTGTATCGCCCTGCTTCGAAATTAGTCTAATCATATTAGCAAATTTCCTCGAAATAATTGTAAACTCTGGTTTTATATTGTGAATTTGTGTCGAATCTTTGTGTCAGGTTCGCCACAAAATCTGCAACATTGGCTCGTTTGGCCACACCGCATCTCGTACATTCCAAGGCAAGGTTTCCACCTCCATGATCATAGAAAGATGAGTGATTTTAGTCAGAACCCATCTAGCGATCATTGTCGTCATGATTCGAAGTGGGATTTTCACCTGGGTACATGCTAATCTCTATCGCGTAATGGTATTTGTTACACCGCTCGCTGTCGCAAAATGTAACAATCACTCAGGATGTGATGATTTTATCACCATCAGAGGAAATCAAAGAAAATTCTAAAATAAATTAAAACAACAAAAAACTAAATATATAATTCTTATCAAAATGAAAACAAAATATTTAATGTTTGAACATACCTCCCTCTTGGGTTTGAGAGTAACCTAACCTATTGTAGAAGCCTGTGCGAACATTTTCTGGTGCAACATACTGGCAACGCGACAAATTGCACGACCTTCTGCCGCATACAAGTAGAAGAGTATCTGACAGTCCGCAAATCAGTAAATGTAAAAAACGATGACTTAAGGGATAAAAGTACAGGGTGCGCCATATTTTATTTCCAAAAATCAGGTTCAGCATCAACCATGCGAGCGGCTGTTTGGGCGTATTCCAAGCGACGTGGACGATCAGTTGGCAATATGTTTGTGTTAACTGCACCTTATAAGGAAACAAATGCAAATCATCCTTCAAAATGCGCCGCAACGTGGTTCCACTGATGCCAAAATGCTGAGCGCGGTGACGATACGACACTTTTGGGTTCTGGGCAACCCTGACTCTGACCGCTTCAACCAACTCTTTGGAACGTCTTGGTTGTTGATGAACGGTATGTTGACTATCTCCCACTGTCCCGTACTCAAGAAACCAAACGATGGGTAGTGTTTGCCATGATATTTTGGACGATATGCACGTTACGTTAACACAAGGACGATTTTCAATGTACATTGTGACTATCTCGGCGCGTTGTTTCGGTGTAAAGCGATTCATGACTAAAATTGTAGTAAATAGACGTTTCAGAAACACGTATAACCAAATCACTCGGTTGGTAAATATCAAAGTCATTCGATGTTTCAATACCGACATAAAAGATGGCTCACCCGGTACTCGAACAATTTTTATAGATAACTGTATTCTCTGCAAATTTTGTATAAGGTATTTTTGTGGCATCTCTTTTCCTTTAAGAGAAATATGACAAAACGTGATATTTTAGACTTTTCCACCCAAATAAGAAGGAGTTCTGATATACTGTCCGTAATGGTGTATTTAAGGTTTGTACCAATTTTCAGCTTTGTGGGAATTTTTGAATACCTATTTTTAATTTTGACTGGATTATTATAGGTGTGTATCTATAAATTATTTGGAAATATCCAAGATGTTGCAAAAAGACTGGTATAACATACTGTAGAATCTTGATCATTAATTTGTTTAGCTATTTTATCATTTGTCTGAAAAAATGCCTATCCTTGAGTTTCTCCGGTTGCTGCGAAACGAAAAAAAATTTTTTTCCAAAAAATTAAATGAATCATCCCGTATATTGTTACATCATAAGATTCGCGTTTTTATAAGTTTCTTCTAATATCAGGCTTAATACTGCCGATTAGAATGGTTATCTGATTATACATGATAAAACACAATTAACAAAAGACATATTTATTACGCCACAGAATTGTGCAACACCCTTCATGTCTTCAATCATTCTGGAAATCCACACCTATAAGATATCAGTTAAGCTACGCAAATCGTTTTCGAATATCTTTTATAGTTTTTTCATTAAACTGATTTCCATTTTCGTTGGGACATCCGGTATATATTGTGTATGTATGTATGTACCTATACGTGATTTCTATTACGAGGGATGTCTTTTAAGTTTTGCATATAGAAACATAGTAGGCCGCGCGGATCGAACGTTAGTACTGAATCTTAACCTCACTCTTTAGTAAACTCAAGTTCAAAGTTTCACATCAAGACGTGCAGTGTTCTCACTACAGTGAATTTTTAGGTGTCACTAGTAATTAGAAAAATGGAACTCAACCGAGAACATTTTGCCTTGCTGAGTTACTGTCTGTTTTCGGCAACCAAGCGCCACATCAGTCGAGAATTTCCCGTTGGTATGGAGAATTAAAACGTGGACGGGTGAGTCTTAGCGAAGAAAATTAGTTTCTCGTTGGATACCCCACCTGTTGACTGAAGAGTAGAAAGCAGCCAGTGTTAATTGGTGTCAAAAAACGCCTGCCCGTTTCAATTCCGAAAACTCAAAAAATGTGTACAGCATTGTTAGTGGTGATAAATCGTGGATTTACTGTTATGAACCAGAAAATAAACGACAGTCGGCTGTTTGGGTGTTCCAAGGTGAAGAAAAGCCAACAAAAGTCATCCATCCGTTCTCGAAGTGTTTCGAAAAAGATGGTCACGACACTTGTGTCAAAAGCGGGTCATATTGCAACAATTCCTCTTAATGAGCAAAGAACTGTTACTGCGGATTGGTATACCACCATTTTTTTGCCAAAAGTCATCACCGAGCTTCGAAAAATCCGCCCCGAAAGAAGAATCATTCTCCACCAAGACAATTCAAGCTCGCACACAGCCCAAAAAACAAGGCAGTATTTAACGAAAGAAAACGTGGAATTATTGGACCGTCTTCCATATAGTCCCGATCTAAGTCCTAACGATTTCTTTACTTTCTCGAAAATTAAAAACAGACTGTGTGGTCAAAGGTTCCAGTCACCAGAAGAAGCAGATCACGCATTCAAAAATGCCGTTTTGGATCTGCCAGCAAACGGGTGGAAAATTGGTTCGAGCGCATGCAGATGTGTATTAATCTTCGTGGAGAGTACTTCGAAAAACAATAGTCATTTAGAACTACCTACCGTGTTGTTTTATTTCCATATAACTTAAAAGACATCCCTCGTATACCGTTTGGTCTACAATAAAGACGAGTTAGTTTTTGTAAAATGGTGCAGGCACAGGGGATAAGGCACCAAACTTTAACACCCTGTACCTTCAACAGAAAGCTGCGCTCATTGAAACATTTGATCAGCGCAGCATTAACTGTTATTATAAGAATTTTCATTAAAAAAGGCCGGTGGTTAACTTCTATGTTTTGTGCATGAAAAAATTTAAATTTTCGTTTTCATAGTCATCTGGGTACTCAACTTTGTCCTCATTTAACAGATTTCGCATATATTACTAGTCGAATTTGAAACATCCAGAATAGCTGTAGACTGGAAGGTAGGGAAAACCTGATGTCATTTGGGTATTCAGGAGGAAGATATGTACATGATTCGTTAAACTTGATTGAAACTAATATTCCCGTGTTTTGGCCCTTTTATGTGGAAACAAGCTATTTCTTGTGGTAGTTATAGGTAGTAAAATATACTGAGGTTTAAATAAGAACGTACCGTAACGCTACTTTTTATAGTAGGCTTGGTTATTCGGATTCATCTGTCTCGATCTGTAGTCTTGGGCATCCTTAGACATACTTGAGAAGCTTTTACTGCTTTGATCTGAAAAATGAAAGAAAACGTTTCTCTGTACAAATATTTTTTTTTCGAATTTTAACCATCGATAGCAATATGAGTGTGACCTATAAGCACATTTAAGACCGGATCGAAACAATTGAATAACGGTCGATGAAAAAACTGAAAAAACACTTCTCACACAATTAAGAGGATGTATTCAACGTGCTCTAAAACTAACTGTTCAATGAGCATAACACTAACAAGTGAGGAACAGTGTTTTATAAGCACAAAGGCTGGAGGCGAAACTATATATGAAAATTGGCCCCAAATGTAATCGAACTCTTCTCAATCCAAATTTAAGTATATTAGGTCAAGTTGCCTTAGCCAAATTTTTAAATCGATAGGTCGCCCCTTGTGGTCAATAACTGCAAAAACATCTTTTCGAAAATATTTTTTTTACGGGCGCAATTCAGCTAAATAAAAAATTTGAAAAAGGCGCTACATTGTTATATCCTGTACAACCATGATTTTTTATAGATTTGTGCAACATATAGATATCAAAAACTTTTATTTTAAATTTTGGTTTCGAATTTTAGGTTGGGTAATGAATATATATATATATATATATATACAGGGTGTCCGCAAAGTTGGGGTTTTCCTTTACACGACGTGTAGATCTTGAAAACATAAGCAATTTTTCTTAGTACCCTATACACCAATGTCTTAAGGGAACCGAGCTAAAGGGCTCTGCAACATCAAAAATATCTGAATACCGTCCTGTAGCCGCGACATCACCGACTGGTACAAGGTCACTGACTCAACCCGACGACAGAACTGGGTCGGGGTCAGTGTGTCAGGTCAGTATGCAACCTTCAACCGACGGTTACGGTCACGCGTGTAGAGGTAATCGCGTAGACGAGAATCCCTCAACAAGCACTAGAGACGTGTCTATAGAAGTGCAAGTATCAAAAACTAAAGTGTGGCAAACGCTGCGTGAAGAGGGGCTGTATCCGTTTCACGTCCAACGTGTACAAGCCCTTCAACCTGACGATTTTCCAGCAAGAGTGCGGTTTTGTGAGTGGTTGTTGCATCAACATGACAATAATCCGGACTTTTTGAAGTGCATATTGGTGACAGACGAATCTACGTTCACGCGTAATGGGGTGAATAACTTTCGCAACACTCATGTTTGGTCAGTAGAAAATCCGCACGCTGTCCGTCGGGCACATTTTCAACAAACATTTTCGGTGAATGTTAGGGCTGGCATGGTGAACGGTATGCTCATTGGACCATTTATTCTCCCGAATCGATTGGACGGGATGCAATACCTAGACTTTTTACGCAACATTTTGCCTTCCTTGTTAGAAGATGTGCCATTAAGTGTAAGACAATCAATGTGGTTTCTGCGTCTGCTCGATAGCGCATCAGATGATTTCATTTTCTGTTGGAGCGGTATAATTTCTGGCAGAGACGTACTTAGCCCTTCTCGTCAACTGGAGAGTGAGTACTTTTTCCTTTATTTTTTTTACTTGGTCGCCCTCGTTTCACTACACATTACCTTTGTTATTTCAAGGGTAGTTGTTTCTGAAAAGGAAAACCCCAACTTTGCGGACACCCTGTATATATATATTAGTGCTTTCTTGCACTCTTTTTCGATCAAAAAAATATGAATTTTTCCCCGGAAAATCTCTAAAATTCGAAATAATCGTATTTTCACCGGGTTTCTCCAATTTTTGACATATCAAACGTAGGCTATCAGTATAAGTTGGCTAACTAAAAAACTAAACATATATGTATACGTATTTTTGTCCATTTTTTTAAGGCTGCATTCCTTCAAATTTTGACGCCTTTGGTTAGGAAAGTAATAGTTGCTTAACGTTGTTACCCATTGTATGTATGCTTTTTTACGTTTTTTTCTTGTCCGGAAACTCGCCAAAAAGCGGAAAAAGCGCGTTTTCACCTATTTTTTCTGCGTTTTTGACGTTTTTTTGGTAGGAGATCCTACCCCGGCTGACTAAAAAATACAATGTGCATATTATGTGTTTTTGTGCATTCCTTCAGGGTTTATTGTGATTTGTGGCCCGAAAAGTTGAGATTTTCTTCAATTTTTGACAATTAGGTCAGTAAATGAATGCTTGACTAACTCAAAAACCTATTGATTAACACATACGCGTAGATTGAGTTAGTAAAGTAATGATATGCTCTCGATAAATGTCTAAAATTAGAAAATTTTTTTGGAAATTTTCGGACAAGAAATTTTTGACATCTGAATCTGAAATGAACGTTAAAGAGTTACTCTATTAGCTGGGCAACAAATCACAATTTTGCCAATGCAGCATGGGAGATGCACAAAAATACATACGCGCACTGAGCTTGTGGTTAGTCAAGTTGCGATAAATATACTCAAAATTGGAAAAATCGGTGAAAGTACGCTTTTTTCGAGTTTTGAAAAATTTCCGGATTAAGAAAGCATTAGTTTAACAACGGAACTGAAAAGAACGTAAAAATGTATGTATACAAAGGGTTACTAACCAAAAGCGTAAAAATTTGAAGAAATCTAAACGAATGGAAAAATACATATATACGCTAGGTTTTTACGTTTAAAATGTATGAGAAATTTGTTGAAAATGCGGTTATTCCGATTTTGATGATTTTCTAAAAATTCGAAAACAATCACAAAAAAAGTTTTGCCGATCCTATACGTTGCACAAATCTATAAGAAGTCACGGTTATTTAGGACATAACAATGTAGTGACGGTGCTTTTTTTTTACTTTTTGAGATAAATTGCGCCCATAAAAATTATTTGGCTATTTGGCTTAGATGATGTGATCCAATACAACCTAATTTGGATTAATCCAGATTTGGATACCTTTGGGCGCAATTTTCATATGTAGTTTGGCCTATAGCCTTTTTGGACCATATAGGTAATAATCCTTAAACAACATATATATTTTTTATCATTATTTGTTTATTTGGTACTCACAAAAGCGTTCTTTTGCATTTCCGGAACTTTTTTTAATTAAAAATGTTCAGCTTCAGAGAAACCCTTTCAAGAACACTTTGATTTGTAACAGGTGAAAAAAGGAGTGAAAGAATGGTTGACAAAAAAGTGTATTTGGTAATATTTTTTAATCCTACCATTTTTTGCGTAAGCGAGACGGTATGTTGCTGTTAATTTTGTTCGATTCAGAGTGATGTTGGGTAAAAAATTATGGGACTCTCAAATTTTAAAAAACAACAATTTTCTTTCCGAACGTTCCATAGGGAAGAGGGTTTCTGATGGATTTTCAGTGATACTCCATATACTAAGAATATTTAAACATCCATTGCACTCATATCGACCAGTATGTGAAAAAATGATATGAACATGTAGTACAATAATTATCTGTACCAGAATTCACAGTGAAAACTTAGAGGATGAATTGTGACGCATCTCACTTCATACAAGCATCGTCAAAAAATAACCTTTGTTATTATTTCTGTTGCTGCTTCAGCAGTCTCGTTTCAAATACAAAATATACATTGGATTTCAGAGCTTCCCATGTTTGACGCAAGCAGACACTTATGTGCAATCGTTGACCAAATGTTTATATAAAAAGTAAATATACTTTATGAAGTGAACATTTAAATCGGATCTTGGGACGATAAATCTAATCAATATCAGCTTTTGTTTGTTTTTTAAAAGAGCTGCACCTGCTAAATCGTGGTTATCTTTTACAGTATTGTATAAATTAGCGGTTAGAAAGCGCTTTCCTCATTTTCCTCTTGACATAAAGAGACACGTTCAAGTATTCAGATTTCATATATTTTTTCAAAGGTTAATAAGTAGATTTCGACGATTTACCTGTTTCAAAACATTACAAAGATAATAATATACAAGGTGTTTCAGTTTATTGTTGCATAACTTGAAGATTCGATAGAACTTTTAAAATTAATGCATAAAGTTTATATTAACACGGGTCGAAAAATGCGTGCCTTCCGAAATACAGGGTGTTTAAATTTACTTTCTAAAATAGTTTTTTTTAATATTTCGAACAATATTTGATGTATAACAGTGAAAATTGGTATACAAGGGTTTTTTGGTACGACAAAACGAACCATGGGCATAGTTTTACTGTAGCCGCTAGAGGGCGCTCTCTACTGTACCTGTAGTGTATTAAAATGACCGAAAATTTTTTCTTAGTGCAATTTTTTGCTTTTTGAATAAAAAACTGATTCTTCGCACTTTTCTGCATAAAAAAGCTCTCCTGTGAGTTTTCGTTATAGTTAGCCGTTTTTGAGATATTTCGATTTTTAAGGTTCGAGGCATTTTTAATTATTTATGGAAAAATAATATTTTTTTTTACATTTTCGATTTGGGCATTACAAATAATTAAGATGACCGTTTAGATTGTGTTTTTAAACACAGCAATAATTCCTAACTCCAAATAAACACAAAAAAACAGAATATTAATTTGTTTAATTTTCCCATATTATTTTTAACAAATTAAATTAATTATTTACAACTAAAATGCTATTGGATAGTTAGGACAAACATACAAAATCTAAAGTAGTTGCTCGAAATGTAAACCCAATTGTTCAATACACAATTCACATCTACAAATGATCGAACGTGGTATAGCATTATTCAAATAAGGCCTTATTTCATCACATGCATTCCTGATTCTGTCTATTAGCATATCTCTTGTGGTTACGGGAGTCTGGTACACTTTTTCTTTTAGAAATCCCCACACAAAGAAATCTAATGGATTTAGGTCAGGGGATCGTGGAGACCAGGCGACTGGTCCTCCACGGCCGATCCATCTTTCTGGATAATTTTCGTCCAGCCAGTTTCTAACTATTCTCGAACAATGAGCTGGACAACCATCAAGCTGGAATCAGGCCAATCTTCTTAAATCTTACATATCGTCCCACATATTTGCATGTTCAGCTTTTAAAAATTCCAAGAAGGTCGCAGCATTAAACCTTGCAGGCAAAAGGTAGGGTCCAAATAGTCGATTACGGTAGATACCAATCCGCACGTTCACAATAAATTCATGCTGAAAATTTCTTTCTCTAACTGCATGCGGATTTTCATGTGACCAAATATGTTGATTACGAAAATTTACCACTCCACGTCCAGTGAAGCATGACTCATCGGTCCATAAAGCGTTACTTAAAAACTCCCTATTATTATCAGTTCTATCAAGAATCCACTGACAAAATGTGATTATTCGTTCTCTGTCCCCTGGCTGTAGTCCTTGCACAGGTTGCAAATGGTAAGGACGTCTATGGTCATTTCTAAGAACACGAACATGGCTTGCTGACATTACTAAGGCACCAGAAACTCTCCTAACACTTGTGGTCGGATCTCACGCAGAATCAAACATTTATGTTTTGATCCCTTTGGAGATTTCCAAAACCATTTTCAATTATTTGGCGATGCACTCTTACAAATACTGAGCGAGTTGGATGACGTCTGTTTGGAAATCTTCGTGCGTATTCTCTGGCTGCTTCTGCTGCGTTTCCATTTACAAAGCCATACACAAAATGAATATCCGCTAACTCTTGATTGGAGAATAAAAATGGCATTTTTATAAAACTTACAAAAAAAAAACAGGTAAAAGAAACTAAATTTCGTGCATTCACAATTGCAAAAAAACGTTTCAGGTTTCAACAGACAACAAAACTAACTGTCAAAATTGACGATTAACCTTATTCTGCTTTCAATTTCAAAAATATTTGCAGGCACAGCCTACTTCTAATCATCGAAACTTAAAAGTCAAAATATCTCAAAAACGGCAAACTATAACGAAAATTCACAAGAGAGCTTTTTTATGTTGAAAAGTGCGAAGAATCAGTTTTTTTTATTCAAGAAGCAACATATTGCACTAAGAAAAAAATTTTGGTCATTTTAATACACTACAGGTACAGTAGAGAGCGCCCTCTAGCGGCTACAGTAAAACTATGCCCATGGTTCGTTTTGTCGTACCAAAAAACCCTTGTATATCAATTTTCACTGTTATACATCAAATATTGTTCAAAATATTTAAAAAACAATATTTTAGAAAGTAAATTTAAACACCCTGTATTTCGGAAGCCAAGCATTTTTCGACCCATGTTTATATAGACTTTATGTATTAATTTTAAAAGTTCTATCGAATCTTGAAGTTATGCAACAATAAACTGAAACACCCTGTATACTCTATCGAAATTGGTGTTTTTAATTTCATCAACATTTATTGCAGCAGCATAAGTATTCTAGATCCAAATGTGACGGTTATGTTGGTAACTCTGATACCTCTACAACTTATGGAAGTATTCACGAACTTCCGAATTAACTATTTGAACATGAAGTCAGCTTTGTTTTTTAAAGTAAAAGTATGTTTTCAAAATATTCGATTGGGTATGAAAATACTTTAAATTATGAAGAAGCATGGTATCAGGTATGCCGCATGTGGACTGTCAATTGTCAACAAGGCGAAAAGTGCAACGTTAAAATGACACAATTTGTTAGATTTTATTTCTAAGAGTATCGACGATTATAGTGATCTTGAAAAATACGACAGTTTTAAGGTATGTAAAGTAGAAAAGCATGCACTATCAATTTCATTAGAATTAAGCATTATTGTTAATATCATATCAATCTTGTTCCCATTTGTTGAAGGTCATTCAGGTAATCGTATGCTGCTTTGTTAAAATTTGTCTTATATGTCCCATAAAGTCTTGCACCATTTGATCAAACCTTATATAAAAGTAACGTAGGAGCGATAGAAGCATTCAGAAACTTTTATTTCCAAATTGTTTTTGAAGTTTGCAAGAGTGGTCAAGTGGTTGTTATGAAAGAGCCGTTTTACACACAAGAGAATTGCTCCGAAAATTATGGTCATAATTGTGCTGAAAATTTGCATGGAAAAAATATTGAAGATTTTCTCTACAACCTGTATGTCTCAAGCAAACAAAATTTCGGAGTAATTCATATGATACGCCTGCGCATTAGAGTTATATTTTCAAATGGACATAACCTTAACGGGTATGACGTCGAATATAATCGGAAAGACAACAGACGTCGATAATTTAAATTTATTTTTGAAATCGAGATCTTGGTTAATATTATAAAACTTCTCAATGCTTGGACTATCGCATCCAGCGCCTGACGCCGCAAATTTCTGTTTTTGTAATTGGGTGACTTCACCTTGTACAGGTTTGGCCATTTTTGGTACTCCTCCAACAACATTGTAAATTCTTCCCGATTCCACGACATTATGAATAAACAATAACAATAAACGCTCCTTCGTACGACTCGAACAGGACCACTCCCACAAATGTTAAGTGAGGTTATGTTGTTGTTGTTGTCGTTGACATTTGATATTGACATGCACGGAAATAACCCTCTGCGCCGATTCTCGCGCATATAATATAGAACGGGTTTTATATTTTTACCATGAAAATTTTCACAAGAATTCTTTTACGTGTAACACGACAGCAAAAATTTTCGGCATACTTATGACCATAATTTTCGGAGTAATTCTCTTGTGTGTAAAACGGCTCTAATACAAAAAGCGTGGCTCGTTTTCCTGGAATCTTTAAATGAGGGTTTTTTAAATGGTTTCAATACTTTTGGAGGAAAACTGTTATTATGGTTGTTATGACTGGAAGCTTGTTTCTGTGGCACAAGTGTATATTTCTAAAGTAAGTTTTTCACCAAAATACTAAGCCGATCAAAATAATAAGTTTTTTTTTAAAACGTTTTAACCCGATTTTTTGCATAATTGAATCTATTCGCTTCCATTGCTCACATACCTATATGATGCATAGTAACAAACTTACCTTTCCAGTCTTTGGGCCGATCTTGATATCCCCTGACTTTCCAGTATTCCGGATTGTTGCTATTTTTCTGGCTGGCTCTGTTATCCTGACACTTTTTATCCATTGTTCAACGTTAAGCTGTTCCGCTGTTCACGCACTTCGCACTCACTCAATGTGCGGCGAAGGTCGCCCGGCGAAGTATTTGTAGCCATCACCCTTGGGATTCCCAGAGCAAACCTACTGATGTGCGCGCGTTCATTCCAAAAACCTTTCACCGACGTAACGGACCCCGAAAGCGTCGGGGAATCCCAGAAGCGCCCTTATTTATGGAATTGTCCAAAAACGTGTTGCAAAGTACGAGGGATCCTATAAAAGAAATGTATCTAACGATGAAATGAAAGACGCACGTGTTATCGATCCCTTCAAGTGCGACAATGTATTTATGATTACTGGTTTATAGTTTCTTCTTAGTCGCTCACGAATTTTGCCCTGCTTCTCCGTACGTTAAAACAATGTCCACTAACTCCTCATTAGTTCACATATGTGCTATTTTTATTAATAAATAACTAAAAACATAAACTCGCAAAATACTTTCTTATTTAACTTCACAATAATCGATACAGATTAAACCTTATTTACACGTTGTATGAAAGAACAAAATATTCCTGTTATTTTCTTTTCGTCAGTTGTTTGGTACAACATTTGCTACAATAAATTTATTAATGCGTGTTCTAAAATCACGACGATGAACGCAAAATACAGATATCTGTACAGGGTGATTTCGAAGTTGAGTCATTTATTTTAACAGTGAGTAGATCTGATCAAAAGAAATGTTTTTTTCCTTTACCATTTTTCTGGTAAAATTAAAGTAACAAAGTTATAGCCCTTTGGAAGTTTGAGTACCGCCCTGTCTCAATAATAATATCATGTGCTCGTGTTTGGCAACAACGGATATAATCCGCCTTATCGGTTCATCGCATCGGAAACAAAAAAGCGAAAGAATTTGGAACGATGTTTTTACAATTATTTTATTCAGTTCAGTTATACATACAGTCACTGTCAGTCGGTAACGCGTGTGAATAGTGTCTGTTGCGTGGCTCAAACGAAATAAAAAATGGCACATGTTTATGCGGATCGGTTTCCCAATCGAGTGCAACCAACCCCTCGTGCCTTTGTTAATGTATTACAACGGGCTCGTGAATCAGGTGACTTAAGACTTCACAGGGGACCTCACGATCAAATACAGGTCCGCACTGAAATACTTGTCGGGAGGATACTTTATAAAACAAGGTAAAACATTTTTTTTTAATTTTTTTTTATTTTTACACACATATTTTGGTTTATCTTCCTTCTACAATCATTATCTGAAAATTAATGACTCAACTTCAAAGTATATTTTTCAATTTATTGTTGAAACTCAGGTTTATAACTTAGTTTCTGTAGGACTTTTATTACATTTTTTTTGAGAAATCAACTTCTTTCGTAACAGTGCATATGTGGTTAAAATTTGTGATAAGTTGTGAAACACCCTTTAGATATCTGGTATGTGTTTTTTTTTTCATTTACATAAGGAAAAAGCAGATAAAAAAGAGGATTGTGGGACCCTTTCGGGACGTCGACGGAACACTTGGTAGACACTCAGTGTCGAGCGAAAGGTACACATGGTTGAACCCGACGGAGCTTCGCAATTAATGAAATTCCTGATAATTTTCATTACTTTACACGTTTTTTTTGATAAATTTATTTTTCAATATAATCTCTCCCTACATCAATGCACTATTTTGCCCTCCAGTGGACTTATACCCTTATAAAAAATATTTTCAGTTGACTCTCAAAAAAAGTCGTCGATGGCTATAATCCGAGTCAAAACGGCGTCCTTGAAGATTCTTTTTAGTGATCTAAAGAGATAAAAGTCAGACGGAGCCAATTTCAGACTATAGGGAGGAAGGTCTATCTCAGTCAACTAAGCTGAATTCATGTGTTTGTCTAATTTTGGCAGCTCTATACATGCTCGCATTGTCATGTAGATTGGAAACATGGATCTTTTCTGGTTCTACGTAAATTTTCAGCGTGTTTGCATGGACGTCCGCATTTATTGTTGTCCCTTTTGGCATATATTCTATGAGAATGATAACCCTGTTGTCTCAAATTACTTTCTGTAATTTCGAACCTAAGCATTTCTTGTTCAGGTGTCAACAGTCGTGGAACCCACCTGGCTGACACCTTACTCATGTTCAAACTGTCATGCAAGATGGTTATTACGCTGGGTTCTGATACGATCAATGCCATGCTGCATTACTATCTTCGAAAAGCATGACTACATCGTTTTTTGTCATTTCATCATGTGTAGCTGTTTTGGGTATTCAATTTCTGAGATCGTTTTCTATGGATTCATGCACCCTTAGAAACCGTTACCCAGAATTTTATTGTGTAATATGATGGTGCATCATCTCTATAGACGGCATCCATTATCTCAGGAATGATGACCCTCTTGAATCAGAAACTATGACACTGCGATACTCACTTATTTTTCCTAACTATTCACTTTATACATTGGAAACTACCTATCAAAACTACCTCAAATTTGGCAAGTAAGTTTGGAACACAAGCCATGCGTTTCAATTGTTCTCTTCTAGGTAAACTTCTTTTCTAGCGTCCCTCGTAGTTTGGCGGGCAGTGTTTCATGACGGATGTATAAACAAACATGCGATTATGATAAAAACAATAACAATTCTACGTGCCTTTCTGACTGACAAAAATGAGCAAATGTTAACTAAAATATAATCTATGCTTCCCAACGTGGGAGTAGTAAAGTATGTGTATGTGTTGAGAGTCTTAATATTTTACCAAAAAGCCTTGGTTGAAAATAAAAAGACTTTTTTAAATTCATTGAAAGTTCTGAAAAACGATTTTGTAAAATCACATCCCTCAAGTTTGGCTATGAATATTATTGACACCGTGTATGTTAAAATGTTGGTGTTTATTGCTGTAAAGGTGAAACGTTTTGGAAACATAAGCTACGTTTAAGATTAGTTTAAGGTGTTATGAGCTGTGCTTTTTGTTGAAAATGCACCCGGAAGCCGATATTTGAGAATTTTTTAGTCATTAATAACTTGGTTTTAGAAATAAAAAGCGTAGTAAGTTGAAGACTTCTACTCATACTAAAAGTATACAGGGTGATGTGTGAGGAAAGGGACATATTGAAATCGTCAGTAGTAAGGACCGGCCCTTTCATATCTGAATATAAGAAAGTTCTAAATCATTTTCTACGGACATATATAGTGATTCATCTAAACAGACCAAATCTCTAATACCACACATTTCAGGTACTAATGAACCGATAAGCTTATGAAATTTTGCACAATAACCTAGGAGTGATGCAAAACTAGTCTGATGGTTTAAAAATGCATCACTAGACTCGATTTTTTCAATTCTACTTTATTTAAATCAACACCATTTAAGCTGGATATTGAAATGTTAGACTATGAACAAAATAATCTAATGAATGGTAATATACTAGCCACGGCTGCAAAGACGTGGTATGCGGAATTATGAAGTTACTTCAGGAAAAGGTACTAATAATAATATACTAAGTGACATATAAATCCGAACACCCAGTTTAAATGGTTTTATTTTAATAAAATTTTGTATAAGTACTTAATGAAGCATAATAAGTAAATGATAAAAATTTCAAAATGATTGCACTGCTTTAAAGCCCTTTGACATTTAATAATGTGTGAATGCACCCTGATGTGCTACGCATTCTCCAACGCGCGTAGGCATGCTTCTGATCAGGTGGTCAATGTCCTCCTGTGGTATCTCATTCCAGGCAACCACCAACTCCTCTCAAAGTGCTTCTAGAGTCTGAGGAGGACGTTGCAAATTGAGCAATCTCCTACCCATCTTATCCCACACGTGCTCAATTGGGGATAAGTCGGGAGATCTTGGTGGCCATGGTAACAATGTGACATCATTATGTTGAAAGAAGTCTATTGTGACTCTTGCAACATGTGGTCGGGCATTATCTTGTTGGAAAGTTGGATCTGCCAGGGTGTCAAGATAGGGTAAAAGATGGGGTTCTAGAACTTCGTGGATATAACGCTGCGCGTTCATGTTACCTCTGATGAAGATTAAAGGTGACCTGGAACCATAAGCTATAGCACCCCAAACCATAACTCCAACGAATGAGAAGTTTTGGCTTGTTTTCATACCGGCCACACTGGGTCCTCCCTTTAACTCGAGAACACCGACGTAATCGCCTTGAGTGGTGCAGACAACGGTCACTCTGGGATCAGGAATGGAACAGTATTGTCTTTAGTGACGAGTCTCGATTTTGTTTAGGCATGCACGATGGTCGTGCCAGGGTTAGAAGGCGACGTGGTGAAAGGAGGAATCCACAGTTTTTTGTTGAAAGACATGTTCATCACACTGTTGGAGTTATGGTTTGGGGTGCTATAGCTTATGGTTCCAGGTCATCTTTAATCTTCATCAGAGGTAACATGAACGCGCAGCGTTATATCCACGAAGTTCTAGAACCCCATCTTTTACCCTATCCTGACACTCTGGCAGATCCAACTTTCGAACAAGATAATGCCCGACCACATGTTGCAAGAGTCACAATACACTTCTTTCAACATAATGATGTCACATTGTTACCATGGCCACCAAGATCTCCCGACTTATCCCCAATTGAGCACGTGTGGGATAAGATGGGTAGGAGATTGCTCAATTTGCAACGTCCTCCTCAGACTCTAGAAGCACTTTGAGAGGAGTTGGTGGTTGCCTGGAATGAGATACCACAGGAGGACATTGACCACCTGATCAGAAGCATGCCTAGGCGCGTTGGAGAATGCGTAGCACATCAGGGTGCATCCACACATTATTAAAGGTCAAAGGGCTTTAAAGCAGTGCAACCATTTTGAAATTTTTATCATTTACTTATTATGCTTCATTAAGTACTTATACAAAATTTTATTAAAATAAAACCATTTAAACTGGGTGTTCGGATTTATATGTCACTTAGTATAGATAATCCATTCTTCGATCTTCGAAATATCTCCATATTCGCAGAAGACTGGTGAACGTCGATTCGTTATTTCTCACCTAATAACTACAGCCCTAATGTTGTTACCGGATCTGATGTTCCATCGTCGCGCGTCGCTGTTGACCTTTTCTCAGCTGGTCACAGCCGCTT